GATAGATAGATAGATAGATAGATAGATAGATAGATAGATAGATAGATGATAGATTGATTGATTGATTTAAGGAAAAAAAAACACCAAATAACTTTTACAAAAAGAACAAAAAAGAGAGAAATCCCTTTAAGCTCCTTAAATTGTTGTATCATGAACCTTTTGCATTAGTAACTAAAATTTATACTTTATTCAGATTCCTAGTTTTCCTGGCTTTTCTTCTCTGCTTAAGGATTCCAGAACAGCACATTGTAGCTTCTTGTCATTTTAGGCTCCTCGACGGTATCTCAGATTTTCCTCGGTTTGGGTGACAGTGACAATTTTCTCCACCTGTGTGTTAAGTTTATCGCATATACACTACACACCGCCCTGTGTGTTAACTTTAACACACTACATTACTGCCTGGTTCATCCACCTCCCCTAAAACCACACCATTTAAAAAGCCACAGAATTAACCCTGGGTAAACAGTGTTCTTAGGTTTTAGTCTGAACTTACAGACAATAAGTATATATACACAGGCATAGTATACAGCAGGATGTTTCAATCTAGGTAACATAATGTGTAACAATCAAGTTTGAGTAATTAGCATGTCTGTCACCTCACATCATCCTTGCGGTAGGAACGTCAAAAACCCCCTCCCACTTTGAAATATAGACTATGTTATTGTTTGCCCCTGAAGGCTTTGGAATATCTTTGTAGAAACTCTCATCCGGGCATGACTGTGCACCCCTGTAATCCCAGCGCTTAGCAGGTGGAGACAGGAGGATCTGCAGCTGAAAACAGCCCCCAGCTGTATCAGCCTGAGGTCAGCCTGAGCTACACAAGACTCTCTCTCAAAACAGAAAACAAAGCCAGAAACTCAAACTTAGTCACTGTCAGATACTTCCTCCATAATCACACAGGATTTCAGGGTTAGGGGTTTCTGCAAAAAAGGTCAGAGCACTAAGTGCCACTTGGACACGCTCAGGGTGACCGGCTGTGGGCACAGCCACCATTCCAAATGTAAGCCCTGACTAAGATGATGCCTACCAGGCTCCTCCACGGTAAGGTTACTAGCCCCACCCTGATCCCACACTGTACTCTTCAGAACTGTAATGAAGGGGGGGTAGCTTATAAATGAACTAGTATTCTATAGAATGTTCTAGATGGTCTGTGTAAAATGCATGGTGTTCTGTAAGTCTCTCCTCAGGGAACCTTGCTTCTCAGCTTCCCTCCACTTATCTAGGCTATCCTTTATCTAGGCCAGCGCACTTCCTGGTGTGAGCCTCACTAATACCCCACCCTGCCCTGCTGATACCTCACCCTGCCCCACTAATGATACCCCACCCTGCCCTACTGAAACCCCAACCTCCCCCACTGATACCCCACCCTACCCACTTTCCTAAATAGCACGCTGAGGTCCCCCTGATCCTGGCCTTCCTGAGGTCTTTCTTACGATAGCTATTCCATGATCATGTAGCTTTGCATTCTTCTTAGTCAGCCTGTCTTCTTCCTTCACTTCCTTCAGTTTAGCAGTCTTTGGCCAGCCTGGTTTTCTTAGAGCCATTTTCCTTGCTCCTTTCTAACACCTCCCATTCTTCTAGAAACTACCATATGGAACCAAACCTAGACACACATTACTCTAAGGGGGTTTGAAGGTTGCCAAGTACACAAAATATGGCTTTACAACTCTGATAAAGCCATGAGTGAGTTATTTCTAAATTGCTTTATAACCCACTGATTCCCTTCAAATTTTCTCTGCAATTTCAGCTAACTAAGACACACAATCATAATTCATTATTCACTAGCATGAGTCAGAGCCCCACCTTGTATCTTAATGAAATGGCTGTTTTTCATTTACAACCTCATTATCTTATAAACTAAGACAACAAAAGCCGGCAGTCAGACAAAGCCATCTCCAAAGACACTCTAAATGTTTACTTGGAAACATGAGAAATACAGAAAATTAAGTTCTGTAAAGTGGAAAATTAAGCATAAAACTGAAAATACGGATTAGACGTGTAGCTTGGTTGGCTGGAAGACTGCCTGCCAACCGCAGAAAAGGCTCTGAGTTTGAGCCCCAGCACCGAATAAGGCAAGCATGGTGTTGCATGCCTGTAATCTTGGAACAGCAGAGGTGGAAACAGGGAGATCAGAAGGTCAAGGCTATCTTCCCCATACATAGGGAGTTTGAGGCCAGCTTAGGATGCATGAGGCTCTGTCAAAATTTAAAGAAAGACTGCAAAAGCGTTTACAAGGCAGAAGGGAGAGCAGGTAACATTGGCTTCTACAACCTTTGGGAAGTCCACTACTCCCATGCTCCACACAATAAAAAAATTTTTTTTGAGAAAAAAAATTTAAATTTGATTTCCCTTACACAATTTACCCATATCGGTTAGCTTCCCTTTTGTTAAATAACCGGTAGGTAAGTTGACAACCATTGTTGGAAGACAAGGCCAGTGTTCCTTTCACATGGAGAGAGAGGTTAAAAGTCTCACCCCTAACAGGCAACAGACAACAGCTAGTGAACTCTTCCCCAGAGTATAATGGAAATTCCTCGCACGCTCTGCCTTTATTCTAATAGGGAGAGGATTCTAGAATCGGAAAGGCCAGTCCACTCTGGCCAACACACACCACAATGAGCCCCTTTCATCTGGAGAAGGAATAACACTGTAAAAATATTATGGCTATGACCTTTAAGCCAAGTCCACTGAAAAGTAGAAACGAAAATGAAGGTTTTTAGTTTGTGGTCCTGACTCTTACAAGATCCTCCTTTACAACCTAAAGCCAACCCAACCTCAACAGCATCAAAGATACTGAAATCACACAGCTGAGTGGGCCTGTGAGAAGCTAGTTTCTAAATGTTCTCAGCTTTTGGCTCAAATCAAGAGTAGCATGTGTTCTTATCAGTTTAATATCTGATGTGTCCTCTGACAACAATATAGTCAACGGATTTTGGCTGGTTTGTTGGTTGGTTTGTTTTGAAACAAAGATTCTTCTCCTTCTACTCCATCCATCCACCTGGAACTATAGTGCCTCAGAGAATGATTCACGTCATCAAATAATAATTGTAAAGAGTATCATTTCCATGGATGTAGATAATCAAGACTTCCAGGCCAGTGCCGTGGTCAGTAGGCTAGCTACAGGCCGAGCCATTTCCCCTCTCATACACAGGGATGTTAGAATCCAGGTCCCACTTCTCTCATCTGTCTGAGGGGAACAGTAAAAACAAGTCTCTCCTCTCACAGCTTTCACACGAAGGACCATCTGGGACTCCACATTCCTGCGCCAGGTGATCAGAGACCCTGCCCCAGGCCTCTCACCCCCAAACAGCAGCAGGTTAGTGTGTGCAGAAAGGCTGTGGCTGTTCCGGAAAGAATAGAAAAAAACAGAAAGGAGGTCAGGTACCTTCAAAGCTCCACGTGCTGATATGAAAGAGTAAGAAATCAGAGTAAGTGGAAGAGGAGCGTTAGGTGGAAGCAGAGGGGGAAAGCAAGCTGAAGAACTATAGGCTGCCACATGGGCAGAAACACAAAAAGATCTCGGGTGTACGTATACACAGACCGCCTCGGAAAGGTGATGGAAGGAGGAAGAGCCATCTAGAAAATGGGCCAGCAGAGAGCCTGGTCTTCATTAACCACCCGTCGCTGTCTGCCCGTATATTTGATACCAAGCGTATATGCTACCAGTCTAAAAACTAATTTTTTTGTTAGCTATTTTTTACCCAGACACTATCTCACTCTATACCAAGGCCGGCCTTTTGGAACTCAACTATGTAACCCAGGCTGACATCAAACTCATAGCGATCCTCTGGCCTCAGCCTCTAGAGTTGCTATGATAATACTCATGAATAACCATGCCTGACTGAAAAGGTAAATTTTCAAAACCCATCTACCACAAAAAAAAAAAGAAAGAAAGAAAGAAAGAAAGAAAGAAAATTAATGATAAAGTCCTAGGAACAAAGAAGTTTTGACTGGGACAAGGGACCTCTGGAAATGGTGGGTTCCTCTTTGCAGCCCCTCTCTGAGCATCTCTGCTAAGTCATCTGCCACAGGTTGGAACTGCAAAATGATCAAGAAGGGCTAACCAGAGAGGAAAAAACAAACAAACAAAACAAACAAACAAACAAACAAAAAAGCCAAGAGCACTTTTAACCTTTAACCCTGCTGGAAAACGAAAGTTTAGAACAAGCTGGAAGCGAAGGCATCGCGTCACTTGTCCTTTTGTTCTTTTTCCAAACTGGACCAGCCCAGCCTCAGAGTTCTACATTGTCTTGGTAACTAAACCCGACGACGGAAGACGGAAGATGGGGGTAACAGTGGTGGGAGGTCCCCAGCAGCTTGGCCCAGAAATCTGAATTGAGCATTTTAAGCTGTGTGAATGCTACTGTGGTCTTTCAAATCCAAACCTAAATCAGATAGGATCACAAAACACATAGAAGAAGATTAACCGCTGAAAACTTCAGTAACGCTACAAACAGAGCTGTTACAAGGAAGTTGGGCAATGATTCACCAAGCTCACATTTTTTTTTTTTTTTTACTTAGAGAACTAAAATACACATAAGAAATGGGTTAATGAGTTCAGTCGGGTCGGGGTAGCTGAAATTCAGCCTGGGGGATGGCAGTCTTCTAATGAAACACATTTTTAGTCTTGTGCTCCCAGCAAAATTTCTAGAAGTTGTCATTAGACTGACGAAAGTTTTTCCTTATACCTTATCTACTCAAAGCCCTAACCAGCTTAAATAGATCTCCAAAATACAGAACCACTTTTCTGAATGACCCTGAATTTGTACAAGTTGCCACCACCAAAGCTATTTCCAGATTCTATCTCTTCGAGTATAATCTTTCCCTACAATTTTTCTTATAGAGTCCAAGGGCCATGTTACAGAATACTTGGGAGAATTTTTTATATGTGACTTGACTTTAGACAGAAAGGGAAGAGCATTGCTTACACTTCATACACACCAATCAGCGACAACTTTTCCAGAAACAGCACAGAAATCAACAGTAATATTCAGATATGGTACTTCAACTCCACACAATAAAAACAGGAATATGCAGTATGTTATAATTAAGCATGATTAAATTATCAGTAATGGAGCCAAAAACTAGAAAAAGATCTCATCAGCGTGAAATTCAGGCTCTAAATAATACACAGACCAACTCCCTGGGCAAAAATAAAAAAATAAATAATAAAATAAAATTTTTTAAAAAGCCCTGCCTTCCAAATGTACCTCATTTAGTCATTCATTCCAGACCAAGAATGTAAATAAAGTTCCATCACAATTCAACAAACATATATTTAGCTCCTACTGTGTTGTAAGCGTACAAAAGGTGCCTAACACTCACTCTTGCTGATGTTAATTTTAAAATGTCCTGGAGGCCTTTGCTGAGACTCATATCCTGCTCTTAGACCCAGCATCTTCTAAACAAGGAGGGACACTGGTGTGAGAAGCCACACACACAAGTATCAACCCTCAAGGTGGACCAGCGGCTGCTGGCTTGTTTGCTTGTCTTTTAAAGGAATGCTTACAGAAAGCAATGCTGTATAGATCCCCAGGGGCTATCGATAAAATACTTGCCTGGCATGCATGAAGCCCTGGGTTTGATTCCTCGCAACCACCCTGTGTTACCTGAGACCTCTTGTCGAAAAGAACCAGACCTCCCACCCCAGGAAGTCTAAGCTACTGGCAAGAAAGTCCAGCCTGTTTGTTTTTCCAGACATGGTTTCTCTGTGTAGCCTTGTCTGTCCCGGACTTGCTTTGTAGACCAGGCTGGCCTCCAACTCAGAGATCCACCTGCCTCTGCCTCCCACTTGCTGGGATTACAGGTGTGTGCCATTGCACCTGGCATCCAGTCTTTTCTTTAATTTTGTTCATAAAGTAATTTCGAGTTTACTATTTGTTTTTTTTTTTAATTTGTGTAGTGTGTGTGCATGTGCATGAGAGAGAGGGAGAAAGAGTGTGTGTGTGTGTGTGTGTGTGTGTGTGTGTGTGTGTGTGTGTGTG